AGTACGCTTCTAATTGTATCTTAATATATAAATATATTATCAAATATCTGGTTATAGAAATTTTTTTAATTATTATTCTTTTAAGTAACTAAAACAAAACATGAACCAAAATTATATTTTATTTGACTTAAAATAGGATTCGTCATTGTGTTTCAAAATATTTTTTAATATGGGCTTTTTATTGACCTATTATAAAGCAGTTCAACACTATTTTAAAACTCTTTAACTTTTTAAATCATCGTTTGAAGATGACCTTAAGCCATCTCCAACTGATGTGCTAAAAGGGTAAAGTGTCATAGTATTAAAACAAATTGTCTACAATCGATGTGTTAAAATGCTAAATAAATGTGCTAAAATACTTTTTAGTGGATAAAAAATAACACATTTTGAAACAAACTAGCATGCTTTGATGAACTTAATTTAATCAAATAAAGCTTAATTTTGATACATGATTTGTTTTAATTGTTTGAAAATTTAATAATTTAATAAATTAAGTATGTTGGTATAATAAGATATAAATGTATAAATTTAACTTATTACTAAAACTAGTTAATATACATAAAATTCTGAGTTAAATACAAATTTGGTCCCTATAGTTTACATAAATTAACGAGTAAAGTCCCTTAAAATAATTATTAACAAAGGGAGTCCTCAAAGTTTCATATTTATAACGGATATGGTCCCTTCTCTAACTATTTCAGATTAGTTTCCGTTAGTGGGCGGTAATTTTGTCAATTCATCATCCTCTTCTTCAACTTCAATTTTCAATAACGAATTGGGTCCCTCAAACTCCTTTTCATTTTATAATATATTTAGTCCATCAAACTAGTTTACGTTATTTATAGCAGAATTGGTCCGCTCAAATTATTTTTTTATTTCTATAACATATTTGATCGCTCCCCAACTCTTATTTTTAGGATTTGGTGCCTCATTTAAATTAATAAAATTTGGTGGTACAAACATATCTATACTATATTATAAAGCATTTGGCTAAAACTCTTAAAAACTCTTAAACTCTTAAAACTCTTAAACCCGTTCATCCCTAAACAATTTCATCTATATCCGATTTCATCCCATGACTGAATTCGTGTAACTAACTGCAGAT